AGGCACCAGTTACCAACTACACTGGAGAGGCTCGCAGATGGCTCCATCCCCTTCTCAGAACCTCCCGTTAACATGGTAACTACTCTAAAAGTCCAGTTTAGCCCTGGCCAGTTTGGCTCAGCAGTTAGAGCGTCGGCCTGCGGTCCGGAGAGACCCGGGTTCGGTTCCCGCTAAGGGCACGTACTTCGGTTGCAGTTTGTCCCCGGCCTTGGTTGGTCGTGCGGTGGCAGCCACTCGATGTGTCCCTTTCACATCGATGTTTCTCTCTCTCTATCTCTTCCTCTCTCTCCCTCCCACTCTATCTGTACAAAAAGTGGAAAAATGTCCTTGGGTGAGGATAAAAATAAATAAATAAATAAATAAAAGTCCAGTTTAGTATTTTAGCCCACAGTTATAAGGTGTGTGTGTGTGTATATAAAAATCCATCCAAACCATGAAACTGACCCTATTTTACCAAAAGACAGTTCTGCTCATGACAACATCCTCATAATGTCTATGATGTTATGGATGTTATAATCCTCAAAGCAGATGGATTGAAGATCTAGATTTAGGGAGGTAAGTGTTGGATGCAATTGAAGGAAATATGCCAGATGGAAGTCCTAATAGACTCCTCTAGCCCTTCACAATGCCCGTTTAAACCTTTTAGATGGTAACTAGAACCTCCTCTGCACTGGTGAACCTGGTTAACATTTCAGTACTTAGATAATTATCCCTTCAGTACTTAATTATTCAGTTCTTAGATAATTATCCAGATCTGTGTGCCCCAAACTTAATGTGGAAGACACAATTACTGCCCTACGCCAAAGGGAGCCTGCAGAGAAAGGGCCGAGGAAGGAACGCCCCACCCCAAACCGCAGTCATCTCGGAGCTGCAAGCTGAAACACAGGATTCCAGGCCTCCCATCCAGACACAGGTGAACCCACGTGGGCCAGGGGAAGGGGCCCGGTTTTCTTCACTCTCTGCTGCCCCCCTGCGACGGAGCCGGCCCTGCGCTGCCGCGGGGCGGGAGCCGATCCCGGTGGCAGTGACGTTACCTCCGCTTAACCTTCCCAAGGGCGTCTGCGCTCCCGGGCCCGGAGGGCAAAGGGGTTCCCGCGCGAGCCAGAGTGAGAAGGGGACTCGGATCCGGAGAGATGCGGACAATACTCTGCCGGGACGCAGAACACCTGCGCCAGAGGGAGGGAGAGGGGAGGGGCGCGTACCCGAAGGAACTTCATGGCCACGAGGCGGAACCCCTTCTGCTCGAAGCGCTTGATGATGTCGCCCACCAGGCCGCGCTGCACGCCGTCCGGCTTGATGGCGATGAAGGTGCGCTCCGTGTGGGCCATGATCCTGCGGGCGAGCGGTCCGGTCCGGTCAGGGCCCCGCGCTCCCTGCCCCCGGCCCCGCCGCCCCAGCAGCTGCGCGACACGTGGCCGCCCGGCGCCTCCGCCCCGCCCCGGCCCGGCCCGCTGCCCCTCTGCAGACCCCGCGGGGCGTCCGCGCCAGGGTCCCGGGGGGACGCAGAGCCTGGGGGTCCCGCTCGGCCCGGCGCAGGGGCCTGCGGGGACAGAGGGAGCCTGAAGACCGGGACCCGCCCCAGCGACGCCAGCGGGTGGGGACCCCGGGGGACAGGAAGGGAAAAGCGTCCCGATCGCCTTACCGAGAAGCGGGTGGGCGGGAGGCGGCTGCACTGCGGAGCCGGAGCAGCGACCTGCAACGACCACCGGAGCCAGGAGTCGCCCGCGGAGGAGGGGCGCGCGGCGGCCACACCCCGGAGGGCCCCGCCACCCAACCCGCGGGGCGGGACGCAGCGGGAGGCCGCTGTCCACGCCCCGGGTTTGCTAGTGAAGGCGCGAGGGCAGGAAGTGATTTCCCCTTTACACAGATGTCCCACAAGTAAAACTAGGCACGTCCAAAGCCAGCTCCTCTCCCTCTCGCCCTCTCTCCCTCTCTCCCTCTCTGTCAACACCATCTGCTTTCATCCAGAATTGAGCTTTCTTTCCTCCCTCTCATGCACCCACCAGTCCCTATCCTTCTACTTGGGAAACCCAGCTTCCCCTTCCCTCTCCTCTGCTTGAGCCCTGGTTCACGCTCTCCGCCTCCCTCATCCAAATGGGCAGCCTGACTCTCAGTCCTGCTTTGATGACCCTCTGCCTGAAGGATGGTATTCCAACCCCTTAGCAAGATACCCCATGCTTTCCACAGTATGCCCTGCTCCTTCCTGCCTGTCTCCCTCCACCCCACCCCCACCTTCCCAGCCCCAAGTAGCTGCTCCATTCCCTCCTAGAGATGATCTCTGCCCTTGCCCAGCGTGATTATGTGGTCAGGTTATCCACTTCAGCCTGAGACACACCCTTGACAAGATTCTAGACTCAGAAATTAGGCCTGTCATCTATCTGCAGACAGTCCCCACCTCCTTTCCCCACCCTTTGGTGGTTGGTGCCCAGCTTCTCTGGGGGAGTCCCAGAGCCCCTACTCTCAGCAGTTACTGACACCTGTCCAGCAGGGATTATACTCTGAAATGGTCAGAGCCCCTGTGTGTCTCTGTCCTCAGGGCAGTGAGCTGATGAGAATGGAGCCATCACCCTTGTGAGTGGTCTTGGCACTGTACTTACAATCTGTAACTGGTAGATGAGCTGTTTGCTCCTGGTCCAGTTGCTACTATTACCTCCCGGTGGTACAGTCAGTAACCTGCCTTTCATCGCTCCTTTCCTTGCTGGGACTGAGTCCCTGGACAATCTCCAGGATCGTAGCCTTAGCACCATCACCAGCCCTACTTACCTACTTGAACTTTTTTTCCCCAGCTTTACTGAGACATATTTAACAAATGAAAGTTGTATGTATTTGAAATATGCAGTTAGATGTTCTGATAAATATACAGGGGTGGGAACAAATAGGTTTACAATTGTTCATATGGAAAGACATGCAGGTTATAATTATTACAATAACTTTATTTAAAAAAATTTTTTTGCCCTGGCTAGTTTGGCTCAGCGGTTAGAGCGTCGGCCTGTGGTCCGGAGAGACCCGGGTTCGGTTCCCACTAAGGGCACGTACCTCGGTTGCAGTTTGTCCCCGGCCCTGGTTGGTCGTGCGGGTGGCAGCCACTCGATGTGTCCCTTCACGTCGATGTTTCTCTCTCTGTCTCCCTTCCTCTCTCTCCCTCCCACTCTATCTGTACAAAAAAATGGAAAAATATCCTCGGGTGAGGATAAAAAAAAAAAATAAAAATAAAAAAATTTTTTTTCTTTATTGACTCTAGAGAGAAAGGGAGAGGGAAAGAGAGAGAAACATCGATGCAAGAGAACATTGATTGGCCGCCTCCTACATGCCCGACACTGGGGATTGGGCCCTGACTGGGAATCGAACCAGCTACCTCTTGGTGCATGGGTCGACGCTCAATCACTGAGCCACACTGGCCGGGTTATTAAAATATTTTTTCTTTATTGATTTTAGAGAGAGGGGAAGGTAGAGGGAGATATAGAAACATAAATGAGAGAGAGCATCAATTGACTGCCTCCTGCATGCCCCCCACTGGGGATTTGGCCCACAACCTGAGCATGTGCCCTGACAGGGAATAATTGAACCACTGACCTTTTGGTGCATGGTCAATGCTCAACCACTGAGCCACACCAGCCAGGCTGCAGATCTACTTTTGCCCACCCCTGTATATACTGTGACATGATCACCACCAACATAACCATCACTTTACAGTTCCCATTTTCTTTCTTTTTGCGTGTTTTGATTTTTGTTTTAACAAATTTCAAGTAAACAATATAGTACAAAGCACTCAACTATAATCACAGCACTATACATTAGATCTCCAGCTTCAGCTTCTAAATAAAAGATAAGTAAATTTCCATCTTGTCTGTTAAAGCAATGAAATCAATGTCCTAACAAATCAGAGCTATTTACAAGATTTCTTCTGTTGAGGGACCCAGGCCCACTATCCACATAGCTTTTCTGTTAGTGTAGCTACAACTTCCACTCCCTCATTCACTGAGTCCTTGAGAACTTCTCAAGAGCAGGAAGGATACCTTTTATTTCCAATGAATCCTCTGCCCCCAGGACAGTTTTGGCAACTGGTGGGGGTTCAGAATGAGTTACCCCAAGATGTGCCTCTGTGGTATGTGGATTTTGAGCTAAACCAACTTAAGCTGCTGGCTCAAGAGATTTTTGCCTCTCCCTTAACTACCTAGAACTGAATGAAGGACCTTGTCCATAATAAGACATTATCAGATATAACCTCATTTGACCTACCTATTTGGCAGGGCAAACTACAAATTCCTGAACATGTGAACTTCTTGCAGTGACTTTCTGAAGCCCTAAGGTGCCTTACTTTATCCCTAGATCAGAATGCCATATATACCCATTTTCCCTTCTGTTTTTGAACCTCTCCTGTGTGGGGTTCTCATACATATGTAATTAAATTGGGTTACTTTCTTCTTTTTTTTTTTTATCCTCATCCGAGGACATTTTTCCATTTTTTGTTCAGATAGAGTGGAAGGGAAAGAGGAAGAGAGAGAGAAACATCAATGTGAAAGGGACACATCGAGTGGCTGCCACCCATACGACGCAACCAGGGCCAGGGACAAACTGCCACCAAGGTACACGCCCTTAGCGGGAACCGAACCCAGGTCTCGGGACCACAGGCCGACGCTCTAACTGCTGAGCCAAACCGGCCGGAGCAAATTTGGTTATTTTCTCTTGTTAAACTGTCTCATGTCTATTTGATTACTAGAGCAGCCAAAAGAACCTTGAAGGTAGAGAAAAGCCCCCCCCCCCCCCCGTAACCTAGCAGATCCTCCGCAGACGCCTGCTGACTGGCTCAGTGACAAGAGTGGATGGGATACGGCGAGGGGGGGGGGAGGAACAGGCAAAGACTGTGTGTGCATGTATGAGCTCTCAGGCCAATATAAATAATGTATATGGTACTTATACTCTCTTATTAGGTTAGCTAGAGTACATGAAAAGGAAAAAAAGACTACAAAGCAGTACAGCAACAACTTGATGAATCCTAGTTCGGATGAAACTTTTTAATCTGATGGTAGCACATAACACTGTACAGGGAACACTCACAGCTCCAAGTGTCTCTCCAGATTACAAGGAAGTTCTCAGAAATAAGGAGGTCAGTGACAGTCTGGTCCCCTGCCATGGGAGGACGAAGAAAGGGGAGTGGGAGGAGCACTGTGGGCGGCCCTCACGTCACTCGTAGATCCAGTTCTGGGCACAGCTCTTGTACTCCACCAGTTCCTCAGGCCGGAACCACAAGCCAATCTCCTTCTCCGCGCTCTCCACAGAATCACTGCCATGGATGATGTTCCTGGACAGGGAAAGAGATGGACACATTACCAAGACCACAAGGGTCAAACTGCCCACAAGCCCCCCTCACTCCCATTTCAGGAAAGCCTACAAACCACCGCAGCAGAAAATGCCAAAGCTCCCTGTCATTAGTTCACATTAAAAGAAAAAACCCAGGCCCAGGACACACGCCCAGGTTGCAGGCTCGATACCCAGTAGGGGTGTGCGGGAGGTAGTCCATTGATGTTCCTCTCTCTCTCTCCCTCCCTCCCTCTCCTTAATTCTCTAAAAATCAATAACACATATTTTTTAAGAAAAGAAAAAAAAAAACCCATGACTACCATTAATGTAGGATAAAAAAACGCCCTCCCCACATCCCACCTTCTTAGCAACAGTGATGCTCGCAGCGAGTCTTAGGAAGGACTTTGGCCAACAAAGTGTGCTGTACCAGGTTTTACCCTCTCATCAGAGGCACAATCACACTGATGTTGACAACCAAAGACAGAGAGCCTACAAAGCCAAACACCAACTTAAGAGAGAAAAACAATAAACTGATTCGAAATTGACCTGCGTAAGGTATGTTGTCCATCCCTAGCTGCAGGAAACCACATTCCTATGGCAACTCAAATTTTGGAAAAGGGTAAAAAGCACCAACTCCCACCTGCCAACTTGGATACAAAAGTCCCCTCGGATGGTCCCAGGTTTGGAGTCCGCTGGGTTGGTCTCCCCAAGCATCACTCGGCCTGTCTTCACAACATTCAGCCCCTCCCAGACCTCCAAGGACAAAAGAAGACAAGGTCAAAGAAGAAAACCAATCTCAGCAGAAAATCTGAAAATTATTAATTAAAAAAAAAAATAGTAAAAAGCCTCCCTAAGATGACATCCATTCACTGAGCAAATATATATTTTATATACAGACAGAGAAAAGTTTCTTCATTATCTGCCCATCCTCTTTCAAGATGTATAGGCCAGGAAAGCTACGAAAACAGATACCTCCTTTGTCTCACTCATGACTGCATCCTCAGTGCTTAGGAAAGAGGCACAATGATGACTACCTATACATATTTGGAGAAGAATTTCTGTGTTAAGTCCTGCCTTCCAGAAGTTTATAATCAGACAAACCCCTCCTGCTCTCTTCCAGCTATGAGTCTTCAGTTCAGCAAGCAAATATATCTTGTCTTTAGTGGATCAGAGAGTCGACTCATATCTTACTTGTCCAATCCTCCCAGTCCTCGTTTCCTCTGCATCAATGAGGACCAGGCATCAGAAGCAAGAATCGCAACACTCACTCTTCACTCCCAACTGAGTCATTCACAACAAACACCCCATACATGCACACTCACCATGGCAACCACTGGCCCTGAGTGCATGTATTTCACCAGGCCGGTGAAGAATGGACGGTCCTTCAGGTCGATGTAGTGTTCCTTGAGAAGGTCTTCAGAAGCCTATTCCGCAAGACAGATAATGAGAAGTAGCCCCCCAAACTAAGCACGAGCGGTTATTTCCCACTCACCCATCCTGCAGTTTAAAACGTGAGCTCTGAGCTCACTAATTCTGTTATAACCCAATTCATTCTCAACACTACCAGAGAGGAACAATGACCAGGACTAAAAGTGCTCCAGCTTTGTTCCAATGTTCCCCTTATTGGCCTTGACTGATCAGAATAAAACTACAGAATATTAGACTCATATCCGTCAATCTCATTTTAGACAGGAAATCTAACAATGCAACAAATTTCCATTCCCAGAGCAAACCTGAATTAAAATATTAGAGGAAAGTTTGGTCTTGTCATCTGATGAGAGGCCAACTGAACCAGGCCATTTCTCAAGGATATATATATATATATATTTTTTTTAAATATGATTTTATTGATTTTTTTACAGAGAGAGGAAGGGAGAGAGAGATAAAAACATTGATGTGAGAGAGAAATAAACATCAATCGGCTGACTCCTGCTTATCCCCTGCTAGGGATCAAGCCTGCAACCCAGGCATGTGCTAAGACCAGGAATCAAACCTGGACCTCTCAGTCCATGAAACAACACTCAATCCACTGAGCCACGCTGACTAGGCTGCCTTTTTTTTTCAATCAGCGTACCTGCTACCTCCATTTATTTATTTATCTAGCTAGTTAGTTATCCTCATCTGAGGATATTTTTCCATTGATTTTTAGATAGAGTAAAAGGGAAGGAGGGAGGCAGGGAGAGAGAGAGAAAAACATCAATGTGAGAGAGACATCTTGATTGGTTGCTTCCCACACCACCCTCACTGGGGCTGGGGATCAAACCTGCAACCCAGGTATGTGCCCTTTACTGGGAATCAAACCCGAAATCCTTCAGTGAACAGGCCAATGCTCTAACCAGCCAGGGAAAAGTTGACTCTTTTAATAGAAAAAAAGATTGTCCCCTAATATTTTCTTTGAGAATGTGAATTCTCTTTTCCCAGGTTTGTTTGAAGAAGGGTTCTTAGCTAATCAATCCTGTGCATTTTCGAAATATTGCTTTGCAGGCGTCTTGCAGGAGTGTCTGCTCTCTGCTCTTTCTGGTAGACCTCCACACAGGCACAACCACACTTCCCCCCACACACCCCGAGGGTGCCTAATATATGCTACACACTAAGTGGGTGGTAAATGATGATGGAAAAATTTCCTTGGTGAAAACAACCTCCCTCAAAGGGGAGAAGAAAAAAAAGAATCTCTAAAATTATCTGCTAAGGAAGCAAAAGAGCAGATCTCAAACATGCCCAGAGCTTTGAGTCAGAAATCACAGACCTGCAGTAAATATGGAACTCTGCATTGCTAAAGTCCCAAATAACTTAGTTTGTTTGAAAACTCAGCCATGATGCTAGGTCACTGAAGAGTTTCCAGGTTTCTGGACATTTGTGTTTACCTTACATGGAGAAATCTAAGGAGATGGGGAGGGGAGAAACAGAGATAACCTACGACGCTCCCCTATCTTATGAAAGAATAGGAATAGGAAGAATAAAGTCCACTTACCTGCAGGAATTTCATAGCAACAAGGCGGAATCCCTTCTGCTCAAAACGCTTGATGATCTCCCCCACAAGCTGGCGCTGGACCCCATCAGGCTTGATGGCAATGAAGGTGCGCTCACTGTTGGCCATGGTCCTGGGGACAGACAGGAGGAACAGCACTAACAATGAAACAACAGTAAATATCGTGCCTACAGCATTATCCTTCTTAAGCGGATAACGGATAACCCCATAAATCTGGTTTAAATCTGTCATGTCAACTCCAAGTTTCTTTAGTAAAAACCCAATTCCTCCTCAGTCCTCTCATGTACAAACTAATATTCCAAAGTGGGGAAGAGTCCAAAAGCAGGAGCTATAATTTCTATCCCATTTTATTTAATATGCTTATGTTAAGCATCTATACTGTGTACACGATACTGTGGCAGAACTAATGTAGGGGATGTTAAAAAAAAAAAAAAAAGACGCCCTGGCCAGTTTGGCTCAGCGGTTGGAGCATTGGCCTGCAGACCAGAGAGTCCCGGGTTCAGTTCCCACTAGGGGCATGTACCAAAAACAAAAACAAAAACAAAACAAATAAAAAAAAGATATTATCTTTCTCAATTATCCAGATGAGAAAAACTACACTGACAAGGTAAAAGTGACATCTGGCCAGTTTGGTTCAGCGGTTAGAGCATCGGCCCACGGACCAGAGTCCTAGGTTCGGTTCCGACTAAGGGCACGTACCTCGGTTGCAGTTTGTCCCCGGCCCCGGTTGGGGCTGTGTGGGTGGCAACCAGTCGATGTGTCCCTTTCACGTTGGTATTTCTATATATATATATAAAATAAATAAATAAAAGTGACATCTGGTACAAGGGTATGAAATACGATTTGACCTACTGACACATCACGGTATTAGAACTGGAAGGAGTTTTAGAGACTATTTCATTACAATACCCTTCATTTTACACATGAGGAAACAGATCTAGAGCACCAGAATGAGGGCCAAAACGCAGATTTCCCAACCCTATGCAATTTATGCTACATCATAGGATATATAGTAAATACTCTAACACGTTGGATTGTGGGAGAACTAGAGCCGCTAGTGATATCTGATACGGGACATCTGCTGGAAGGAAGCCTAGAACGCATCTATTCCAGATCCTTCCTTTTACAGAGAAGCCTGGGCTCTAGACCTGCTCTGCCTCCATCAGAGAATGGGGACCCCACCTTGAAAGACAGTCCCTAATGTGGATAACAGCACCACCTCCTGGCTCTCTCTTCCTGTACTTCAGTTAATCTGCTATTATAGCACCTTAACAATACATTTGAATTTTGTGTTTGTGTGTGTTTCTTCCCCAGTAGTCTGTGGTCTGTCCCTGGCACCTCGCCACAAGGCCTAACACTGAATAAATGCAAAAAAAAAAAAAAAAATGGGTTTTAAGTGAAGAAAACGAGACAAAGTCCAATGACTGGCAGAGAACTCCTGACAGAGGCTCGAGACAAGAATGGATTCACCTGGAGAAAATGTGGCTAAAGAACCAGAAATAGTCCCTTTAAACGTCCCTCCCCGTCCACCCTGATACACCCGTCATTCATTCAGCAATCACACTGAGCGCAACTCCGAGCCCAGGGCTGCACTCGACAGAGACACACAAGGCATAACCCCTGTAGTCGCGGCCTAATGGGAAAGGCAGCCACAAGCCACGGACAAAAGCGAGTCCACGTGGCGTGGGACGAGTGCTGACAGGTTTGCACCTGTCGACAGGCGCTTCCCCGCTCTTCCATCCGATTCCCCTCGCCACCTCTCAGAACTCACAGGACCCCTTCAGCTCCCCGCTCCCCCGACCCCATTGCTCCCCCCTTCCTCTAAGGACCCTGAAGCCGTCTCACCCCTCCAGCTGCTTGAACTCCTACTCCGCCTCCTGTCGCCGGCACCGGAAACGCGCCCCAGCCCCACGTGGTTGCCGGTCCTCGCACGCCCGGAACCCTTCTGCTCAATTCGGCTACCCACCGGAGGGCCCATTTTGCGGAACACCATTTGTCCACGCTTCTTGTGAGTCGGGTCTCATTCTAGGGAGCAACTTTCCGATCTTTAACTTCCGGCGTGCTCTTCCGGCAGGCTGCCATCTTTTTTTTTTTTTTTTGGAAATTCTGACTCACTTCCTTCTTTCTGGAGCAAATCGGCTTCTCGGGTGGTGGCGCTCATACTTTGCTAGAAGTGAACGCGCGCCTGACTCAGAGGTAGACACGTCTTCTTACTCATTCTTTCCGGTCTGCCAAACAATGAATTCTTTTTTTTTTTATTGTTTTTCCCTTTATTGATTTTAGAAAGGAAAGGAGGAGAGAGAGATAGAAATATTAATTAGAGAGAACATCGATTGGCCGCCTCCTGCATGCCCCCCACTGGGGATCTGGCCCATAACCTGGGCATGTGCCCTGACCGGAATCTAACCGGTGACCTCTTGGTGCATGGGTCATGCTCAACCACTGAGCCACACCGGCCGGGACAAACAATGAATTCTTTATTGAGTACCTACTATGTGCTGGCCACTGTTCTAGAACCTGGAGGATATAGCAGTAAACTTTCGTGGTACATCTGGTGTGATTGGGAAGGGGGGCAAACAATAAACATGTATATGGCATTATTTAAGTGCTGTGTCAAAAAAATAAAAATAAAAACGGCGAGGAACCAAGGGAGATTGAAGGAGTAAACTATTTTAAAAGATTGGTTGAGGAAATCTCTCTCTGAAGAGGTGACAATATATGTGCATGAAGTTAGAGGGCAAGTTCAATAATTATCCGAGAGCCGAGTGTTACAGTGGACATCCAGTGGTAGAAAATGCAGCTGGGAGGGGCTAGATTATGCTATGCTGGGAAGCCACTGGGATATTTTCAACAGGGCATGACATCATCTGATACACATTTTTTGTTCTAGTTCTGACTACTGTAGGAGGAATGGATGGGGGATAAGGTGCAAAGTGGAGTCAGAAGCCTTTTCAACAAATGGCTGAGCAATTGGACATCTATACAGAAACAAAACAAAACAAAAAAACATTTCTTCCTAAACCTCCCAACTTAAACAACAATTCACTCAAAATGGATCATAGATTTAAATGTCAAATGTAAAACTATAAAAAGTTTAGGACAAAAAAACATGGTACAAAATCTTCAGGATCAAGAGCTAGGTAAACTTTTTACACTTACCACCAAAGGGACAACCCATTAAAAGTTGGTAATTGGGCCCTGGCCGGTTTGGCTCAGCGGTTAGAGCATCGGCCTGCAGTCCAGAGAGACCCAGGTTCGGTTCCCGCTAAGGGCACGTAACTCGGTTGCAGTTTGTCCCCGGCCCAGTTCGGTCGTGCGGGTGGCAGCCACTCGATGTGTCCCTTTCACATCGATGTTTCTCTCTCTCTCTCTGTTCCTCTCTCTCCCTCCCACTGTACCTGAACAAAAAATGGAAAAATGTCCTCGGGTGAGGATAAAAATAAATAAATAAATAAATAAAATAAAAGTTGGTAATTGGATCTTATTGAAATTTAAAACTTTTGCTCTTAGAAAGGCTCGGAGAAGAGGATGAAAAACCAAGCTACGTGGTGGGAGAAAATGTTTATAAACCACATATCCAACATAGCCTTGTATCTAAAAATATATAAAGAATTCTTATGCCCTGGCTGGTCTGGCTCAGCGGTTGAAGCATCAGCCTGCAGACCCGAGAGTCCCGGTTTGGTTCCCGCTAAGAGCATGTACCTCCGTTGCAGTTTGTCCCTGGCCCTGGTTGGGGTCGTGTGGGTGGCAACCACTTGATGTATCTCTCTCACATTGATGTTTCTCTCTCTCTCTCTCTCTCTCTCTCTCTCTCTGTCTCCCTACTCTATCTGAAGATAAATGCAAAAAAAAAAAAAAGAATTCTCACAACTCAGCCTTATTAAAAAATCTAATTAGAAAATGAGCAAAAGATAAGAATAAACATTTCACTGAAGAGATTATACAGGTGGCAAATAAGCATGTGAAGAGATGTTTAACATCATCATTAGCCATTAGGGAAATGCAAATTAAAATCACAGTGAGATATCACTGCACACCTATCATAATGACTAAACCAAAAAATAGCAATTCTGCCCAACTGGTGTGGCTCAGTGGTTGAGCATCGACCCATGCACAAGGAGGTTTCCAGTTAGATTCCTGGACAGGGCACATGCCCAGGTTGTGGGCCTGATCCCCAGTGTGGGGCATGCAGGAGGTGGCCAGTCAGTGTTCTCTCTCATCGATGTTTCTATCTCTCTCTCCCTCTCCCTTCCTCTCTAAAATCAATAAAGAGCCCTGGCCGGTTTTGCTCAGCAGTTGGAGCATTGGCCTGCGGACCAGAGAGTCCTGGGTTTGGTTCCCACTAGGGGCATATACCAAAAATAAATAAATAACATAAATAAAGAAAAAAATGTGTAATGAAAAATAGTGATTCCTCTGACCACATGACTCAGTTGATTGGAATGTGGTCCCATGCACCCAAAAGGTTGTAGGTTTGATTTCTGGTCAGCACACATACCTAGGTTGTTGGTTGGATCCCCAGTCAGGGCACGAATGGGAGGCCAATGTTTCTCTCACTCTCTTTCCCATCCTCTCTCTAAAAATCAATAGAAACATACTTGGGTGAGGATTTTTTTTTTTAAATAGTGACAATACCCAAACAACAAGGATTGGTGAGGGTGTGGAGAAAAGGGGACTCTAGTACACTGCTGGTGGGAATGCAGACTGGTGCAGCCACTATGGAAAACACTATGGTGTTACCTCAAAAAGTTAAAAATTGAACTGCCATTTGACCCAGTGATCCCACTTCTGGGAATATATCCTAAGAATCCAGAAACACCAATCAGAAAGAATATATGTACCCCCATGTTCATAGCAGCACTATTTACAATAGCTAAGATCTAGAAACAGCCCAAATGTCCATCAGTAGACAAATGGATAATAAAGCTGTGGTACATGTACACAATGGAGTACTATGCAGCTGTAAGAAATAAAGAGCTCTTATCCTTTGGGATGACATGGAGGGACCTGGAAAGTATTATCTTAAGCGAAACAAGCCAAACAGAGAAAGACAAGTGTCATATAATCTCACTTATTTGTGGAATATAATGAACATAACAGTCTGAAGAACAGGCTAGTCCCAGAGACGTGGAAGTAGGGTGCAGACTGACAATCCCCAGAAGACGGGGTGAGGGGGAGAGATAAACCACAGAACTTACATGCATGTATGCATGAACAATGGACATGGACAACTAAGCTGGGGACAGAGTGGGGAGGGAAAGGGAGGAGGGTGCTAATGGGGGAAAAAGGAGAAACATCGATAACAAAAATAAATAAATAAATAAATAAAATTAAAAAATAGTGACAACATCAAATGCTGTAGAGCAGGCGGAGAAACTGGATCCACTCATATGCTGCTGGTGGTAATGTAAAATGGGATAGCCATTCTAGAAAAGTTTGATAGTTTTCTATAAAACTAAGCATACACTTACGATATGACCCAGCAATTAATTCTTGGATATTTATCCCAGAGTATTAAGACATGTTCTGTTCAGCCCGGCCAGTGTGGTTCAGCTGTTGAGGGTCAGCCCATGCACCAAAAGGTCGCCAGTTCGATTCCCTGTCAGGGCACATGCCCAGGTTGTGGGCCTGATTCCCAATGGGAGGCATGCAGGAAGCAGCCAGTTGATGTTCTCTCTCATCGATGTTTCTGTCTCTCTCTCCCTTCCTGTCTCTCAAAAATCAACAAAGAAAAAAAAGTGAAAAAAAAAGATATGTTCTGTGTATACAAAATCCTATACACAAATATTTACTTATTTTTAATAGCCAAAAACTGTAACAACCCCAATGTCCATCAAGTAAATGCTTAAACTATGGTTCATCCATACCATGAAATACTAATACTCAACAATTTAAAAAGAAAAAAAAAAGCCCTGGCTCATGTGGCTCAGTGATTAGAGCATTGGCCTGCACACCAAAAGGTTGTGGGTTCAATTCTCAGTTAAGGGCATGTACCTGGGTTACAGAATGATCCCCACCCCGGTTGGTGCTCATGTAGGAGGCAGCCAATGGATATGTTTCTCTCACATTGATGTTTCTCTCACTCTCCCCCTCCCTCACTCCCTTCTATGCTCTTTAAAAATCAATAGAGCCCTGGCCGGTCTGGTTTAGCGGTTGGAGCATTGGCCTGCAGACCAGAGAGTCCTGGGTTCGGTTCCCGCTAGGGGCACGTAGCAAAAAATAAAATAAAAATAAAAATCAATGGAAAAAAATATCCTCGGGTAAGGATTAGCAACAACAACAACAAAAGTTAAAAAAATTTTTTTAATACATACAACAACTAAATCCCAAGGGAATTTTGCTGAGTGAAAAGCCAATTAAAAAATAATTATACAGCCCTGGCCGGTTTGGCTCAGCGGTTAGAGCGTCGGCCTGCGGTCCTGAGAGACCCGGGTTCGGTTCCCGCTAAGGGCACGTACTTCGGTTGCAGTTTGTCCCCGGCCCTGGTTGGTCGTGCGGGTGGCAGCCACTCGATGTGTCCCTTTCACATTGATGTTTCTCTCTCTTCCTCTCTCTCCCTCCCACTCTATCTGTACAAAAAATGGAAAAATGTCCTCGGGTGAGGATTAAAAAATAATAATAATAATAATTATACACAATATTGCATTTAATAACATTCTTGAAATAACAAAATTATAGAGATAAAGAATTGCCCTGGCCAGTTTGGCTCAGCGGTTAGAGCGTCGGCCTGCGGTCCGGAGAGACCCGGGTTCGGTTCCCGCTAAGGGCACGTACTTCAGTTGCAGTTTGTCCCCGGCCCTGGTTGGTCGTGCGGGTGGCAGCCACTCGATGTGTCCCTTCACGTCGATGTTTCTCTCTCTCTCTTCCTTCCTCTCTCTCCCTCCCACTCTATCTGTACAAAAAATGGAAAAAATCCTCGGGTG